AAGCCTCTTTTGAAAGAGAGCGCCTAGACTACAGCCAGTACTTTCAAAAAAGAGAGCACCCAGGCAATCTGGATGCTCTTTAGAAAAAGCACAGTTCACGTTCAATAGCGCCTTTTTTGAAGAGCACTTTCCAAAAAAGGCATTATTCCTTGTAAAATAAGGATTTCTGTGATCGAAAAAACTGCCACGTTCTTTCAATTTACTTTTGAAAGAACGCAACGGTAATCTAGACGCAGGGAAAGTTTTTTTGAAAAAAGGCCACTTTTTTCGAAAAAACCCTGTATTCTAGACACACCCTAGAGGTTCAAAGGGAGGTCTTGTCAAGTTATTCAGAACAAGCAGTAGCTCCCATGGTGGTACTTGCAGACATAGATCGGGAAGCATCTTACATAGGCTAGAAAGAAAGATTTTCATAGTAGGGTGAGCGGAAGTGCCATCCTCTAGGACTAGGTCATGAAAGACTGTGATGGCTGGTAGGTGAACTTTTATGGAGTTGATGGACAGCCCTGCCTCACTAAGGCCCATGAGATATTAGAGGACTGAAGGTATAGCAGAAGTGTTAGGCTGTAATTAACGCTGTTGGCACCATTCCTAGAATTGTCATCATTTATTCTGGTAACTGTATCACGTAGAAGGGCGACGGCTATTCAACTGGACCTGCTTTACAGTTTCAGAACAGGTAAGTTCCTCGGGTTGGAACCATGAAGGCACCATGCAGTGAGCCTGAACGCTTGGGGATTGGGATGGCAGAGTCGTCCCTGCTATTGGGACAGAAGGTTGGAAATGATTGGGAGAGGTATTGGTTCATGGCTCGAGGTGCGCTGCAGGTAAGGGAACCATGGTTGCCTGGGCCAGGATGGGGTGATCAGGATTACTGCTGCATGATCTGTGCGTATTTTGTGAATTCCCTGGAAACCAGGAGAATTCGTGGGAAGGCCTATAGAAGTGGAGCTATCCATGGTAGGAGAAACACATCTCCCCGTGAATTCCTGCCCTGCCCTGCCCTACTCTGGAGCAGAAATATAGGGATTTGCAATTGGCTCTGGTGGCAAAGAGATCTATTGTTGGGAACCCTCACCGATGAAATATCTGATGGAAGTTCGTGGGATTGAGCTCCCATTCTTATGGCCTCTGATAAGGCATGTATTGCCTCCTTTTGTTGAGTGGAGTATACATCTCGGCTGTGTCTACACTGGCATGAATTTCCGGAACTGCTTAAAACTATTCCATTTTCAGTTTTTCCGGAAAAGGAGTGTCTACATTGGCAGGCTGCTTTTCCGGAAAAAGGGCTTTTCCGGAAAAAGGGCTTTTCCGGAAAAAGGGCTTTTCCGGAAAAAGGGCTTTTCCGGAAAAAGGGCTTTTCCGGAAAAAGGGCTTTTCCGGAAAAAGGGCTTTTCCGGAAAAAGGGCTTTTCCGGAAAAAGGGCTTTTCCGGAAAAAGGGCTTTTCCGGAAAAAGGGCTTTTCCGGAAAAAGGGCTTTTCCGGAAAAAGGGCTTTTCCGGAAAAAGGGCTTTTCCGGAAAAAGGGCTTTTCCGGAAAAAGGGCTTTTCCGGAAAAAGGGCTTTTCCGGAAAAACTGAAAATGGAATAGTTTTAAGCAGTTCCGGAAATTCATGCCAGTGTAGACACAGCCCTCCAGTGTGCGAAGGATTGTGTGGGACTTCTCATTGAATGGAGGACCTTGTCTGTCTTGTCTGCAAACAAATGAATTCTATCAAAGGGTAGGTCCTCTACACTAGTTTGCAGCTCACACAGAATTCCCAAAGATTGTAGCCAGGAAGTACAGTGCATCACAATGGCTGTGGCTGTCATCCTGGCAGCTGTATCTGCTGCGTCCATTTAGACCTATAGGGTGGTTTGGATAACAGACTGGCCCTCCTGCATGATGGATTGGAACTGTGGCCTTCTTTGCTCCATTAGGTCATTCATAGGCTCCTGACACCTTGGACAATTTGCATGATCATGGTTTGCAAGGAGGGCTATATAATTTGAAATTTGGAACTGCAAGGTCACTGAGGAATAGACCTTTTGTCTGAACAGGTCTAATCTCTTATGCTCCTTATCTTGTGAAGTAGATCTAAATTGTGGTTGTCTCGACCAATGGTGGTCTGCATCCACAACCAGTGAATGTGGTTGGGGATGGGAAAAAAGTAAGTCTATCCCTTTAGCTGGTATGAAATATTTCCTATCTGCCCTTCTATCAGTAGGTGGAGATAGAAGCTGATGTTTGCCATATGGTCTCAGAGGGCTCCAATATGGCCTATAGGTCATACGTTGATAGGTAAAGCAATTTTTGAGGAAGATGAGGGTTGCAATACTTGTAGCAGCTCGTGCTGGCTTTCTTGCACTTCCTGAAATATGATGTCTTGCAAATTTGCAACCCTTTTGAACAATTCCTGGAATTGTTTCAGGTCGTCTGCCGGTGGAGAAGAGGAAGGGGAGATCACCTCATCAGGGGACGATGATGAACAGGCAGCTGGGTATGGGTCGTCCATGTCAGACTGAGGTAGGTCATTATCCTCTTCCATAGGGTCTGGCTGTGTGTCTGCAGAATATGACTGTGGTGGTTGAGTTGGTGATGAACGAGTTATTGTCAGTAGTAAATGAGTTACTCTATGAGCTGGAGTAGAGAGTTCTGTATCCTGTCGATGGTGGCATTGTGGTGGCTGTGACTGGCATTGAGCCCATAGGTCCCAGGGGGGCCACTGTGGATGGTAGGGCTGAGGTGGGAATGGCCACAGGTGGTTAAATCAAGGGTACTGAAATCAATCTTGGGAGGACCTTTGCTTGGTTGAACACCACAATGCCACGGAATAAGTGGGAGAAGAGTGTTACGATGAGAACCTGCTCCCATGCTTGGTGCCAGGGTCAGTACCAGGAGAGGATGGTGTGGGTAAAAAGGAGATTACCTCAGATCGGTGTCAATGTAGGTTATTTGGATTATTTTCCCTAAGCAGGGTGAGTGTGGTGGTTATTCAGCAGTCTGTTCTGGTGGTGGCGCTGATGGCACCTGTGCTGCCCAGTGCTGGGATTCAGACCTCTTATGAGTCTTGCTCACTGTAGTCTCCAGTGCTGGAGTACACTGCAAAGGAACAGCTTGAGTCAGTGCCACCATCTCCATCAGTGCCGGCGATTGGTGCCAGGCGGGCCCCTATGCCAATCAGTACAGAGTTGTTCCATTTATGCTTTGGTCGGTCTCTGCTGTCTTTGTTGGTGCCACTTTGTGCTTCTCAGCAGTGCCAGATGTAGATGGAAATGGCTAATGGGTGCAGGGTGTTATCAAAACCGCCGGCAGTGACCATGTCAGTGATGAATGGGCTCTTTTCCTCAGAGTTGAGGGTTCTGCTGACACTGATTTCTTTGGATCTGGTAGTTGGAGAGACTTCTCCTGTAATAAATTCTTTAGCCTCATCTCCCTATCTCTTCTGGCTCTCATCGTCATACTTTGGCAGTGCTAGCATTTCTGCACCACATGGCCTTCACCCAGACACCTTATGTGGGAGGTGTGCCTGTCCGAAATGGGCACGGGGTCCCTGCAAGAGTCACTGTTAAACCTCATTCTACGAGGAGTAACAGTTAATTCCAACTAAGGGGTATATCTCGGAATCCCGCTTCTCTGCCGCGTGTAGATGCAGGCAGTTACTTCGGGCTAGTCAGTTTCCAAAATGGCGACTGGCCGGGATTATGCTAATCAAGCACGGGATATTTAAATCCCGCGTTTCATTAGCAATTTCAGTCACCCTCATTAGCCTCTCTAGTTCAAACTAGAGGGGTAGTGTAGATGTACCCTAAGATATTATTTGGCCATAGAATTTTCTCCATCGTCAGAAGAATAAATTCCATTATCTATCACTTTTGCAAAACAGACAAGAACAAAATAGATTTTTTTTAAATTCAGCGAACAGGGGATGAAAATGTAATTGTAGCCCTCTGTGTATAAAAACATCTAATAATTATAAATACTGGTATTAGCTCATTGGTTGACTGGCTTGACATTTCATCACTTGATTCAATTCACGTTGGAACATCTACTGAAAGCATGGTTCATGATGGTAAAAGACGAGCGAAACACAGTAATTTTAAGTTGCTACTGACTACTAAATGTATTTAGGCTGATTGGATTTTAGACGTGTCATTTTCCATTAATTTTGTAGGGTTGATATTTACTCTCAAAAAATATAATAAGGTAAGAAGCATTGCTCCTTAAGGTTTACTTTGCAAGGTATCTTTAGTCTGCAACACAGCAAGCAGGTACATTAACTTGATCAGAAACACCTACTGATATTTAAATGGAACTACCATAAGACTCTCCACTTCCCAAGTCTTAAAGCATTTAATTATGCTTTTGAATTGAATGTAGAGCACAATATCAAAGCACAAAAGACTCTCCTAGGTGGTAAGAGTGGAACATCTATGTACTGACACCCTACTCCCCCCAGTTCTCCCTAGACTCAAAAGTGATATGTAGAAACTACTACAGAACTTATAGTGCAAGAAGTTATAATGAAACTTGTACAAGACATCTGCTGGAAAAACTCTTACCTTAAGAGATCATCTCCAGGTATTCCAAATGCGATTAATGTTTAGAAAAGAGAAAACTAAGAAGGGACATGCTATCAGCTTTCAAGTACCTGAAAGGGTGCCACAAGGAGGAGGGAGAAAAATTATTCTCAACTTCTGATAATAGGACAAGAAGCAATGGGCTTAAATTGCAGCAAGGGAGGTTTAGGTTGGACATCAGGAAAAACTTCCTAACTGTCAGGGTGGTTAAACACTGGAATAAATTGCCTAGGGAGAGGTTGTGGAATCTCCATCATTGGAGATATTTAAGAGCAGGTTGGATAGACATGTATCAGGGTTGATTTAGAAAGTGCTTGGTCCTGCCATGAGGGCAGGGGACTGGACTTGATCTCTTGAGGTCCCTTCCAGTTCTAGTATTCTATTATTCTATTAATGTAATTCTGATCCATGAGGGAAGCAGGGTCCTCATGTTAGCCTCACCAGATTGATCAGCCTTCTCATTGCATGTTCATGTGAGCAAATGCATTCACAGGGATCGAATCCACCTTCTGCCATGATTATCCAGAGAAACCAAAATTCGTCTGAACACCTAGAAAGAACAATAAAAAGGACAATCAACTCTTTTTCAATTGACCTTATTATACAGAGATTAACACATCAAATTTCAATTAATTTAGTATAAGGGGGAAAACAAAACACAGTAATCTAATCATTCCTTTTGAGTATGTCTACATTGCATTCCTCTTTCAAAAGAGGAATGCAAATGCAGCCGAGTGAAATGGAAAATGAAGCACAGATTTGAATTTCCCGTGCTTCATTTGCATAATAGTGTCCAGCCACTATTTCAAAATACCCTATTTTGAGATAAAAAATGCTGTGTAGACACTGTTATTTTGAGAAAAAAAAACTTCTTTCGAAATAACCCTTAAACCTCATTTTATAAGGAGTAAGGGTTATTTCGAAAGAAGGATTTTTTCTCAAAATAACCACGTCTACACAGCATTTTTCTCGAAATAGGGTATTTCGAAATAGCGGCAGGACGCAATTATGCAAATGAAGCGCAGGAAATTCAAATCCACCCTTCATTTGCAATTTCTCTCAGCTGCATTTGCATTCCTCTCTTGAAAGAGGAATGCAGTGTAGACATATTCTTGGGCAGGATGAAAAGGAGAAAACTGGCATGTTTTATTACTTAACAAATCAAAAAGTAGAGTAGGTAGCCGGTACTGGGTGGTTTGTTTTAAAGGGTGTCCGATAAGCTCTACCTCAGACATCCAAACAATTTTAACTAAGTTTTGTGTGCCATCTGGATTTCCCACAGGCCAGTATGAAAGATCCCTTCACAGACAAAACTACAAAGGTAAAATCTGCTCTCTGATCTGCACAGTCAGTCTGTTACCTACAAATTTTCTATTTATTAAATGTTCCATATTCATTCCACTATATTAGCGGGAGTTCCTTGCGAGAAAATAAATGGTCTAAATTTAAAATGTGCTAAAGTTTCCACAACTCCTATTGGAAGAGAGTGGGGCAGAAATAAAGGACAAAAAACAGTTACGATTAAAACAAAAAAGATGAGTTCTACATTTGAACTGAAAAGCAAAAACAAAATACTTTACATTTCCATCCAATCATTTTGGGGTCTGAAAATCTTATACTGTTGTAGAAGGTAAATATATTAAAGAAACTCTCTCTGTTAAATCAGTAGTGTCAGAAGTCAATCATAACTAATGGCTTGTTTCAGAAAAATGTCAAGAAAGGGTGTGTCTACACTGCACCATTATTCCGGAATAACAGTAGTTATTCCGGAAAAACAATACTAGCGTCCACATAGCAATTGTGTTATTTCAAAAGAAAATCAAAATAACGGAGGGCTTTTTCCACCACTGGTAAGCTTCATTCCATGAGGAATAACACCTCTTCTGAAAAAGCTATTTGGGAAGCAGGTGTATGTGGACACTCCACTGTTGCTATGTTGAAAAAATAGCTCCTCATCAGGGCCATTCTAAATTATTAATCCCCAGTGCCTCCTGGGGCTCTAAATCAAGATAGCGCATCCACATTAAGGGAGCCTGCCTCGGACTAATTTTGAAGCTTACCTGTAGTGTGGAAGCTCTATTTCGAATAAGCTATTCCAGAAGATATCTTCCAGAATAGCCTTTTTCTGAAATAAGCTTGCAGGGTAGACGTAGCCAAAGACACTGCATTCCAAAAAGGTCATGCCACATGTAGGTGCTCCAGAAGGAGCCATGCCATACCTGGAGGTCCCAGAATAGGTTTGAAAACAATATAGTTCAAATTAGAACCGGACAAATTTCAGTACTGTCATACTATTGAAAGACTTCACTAGAAGGGGAGATTAAAAAAAACAACAACATAAGGGTGTCTACACAGCACCCTAAATTTGAAAGAAGATATGCAATTTGCACTGCACAAATTGCACATCTTATTTTGAATGTATTTAAAAATAATGTATTTTGAAATTTGGCGTGTCTTACACAGCACCATATTTTGAAATAAAGCGCTATTTCAAGCCATCTCTTACCCCTCATGCAATGAGATTTACCAGGATGGTGAAATAGCGTGCCTGTTATTTTGAAAAATATTTTGAAATAACAGGCAGCTTGTGTAGATGTGGGGTAGCTATTTTGGGATACCTCTGGTATCCTGAAATAGCTGTGCAGTGTAGACATATCCTAAGAGATTTGGGAGCACAATTCTCCTTGAAAATTGGAGCTATCTGTACTCCTAAATCCCTTATTAGATAATCTCGGAGAAAATTTTATAAATTAACATTCTAGTATGTGCAAGGAATAAAAATTAAACCCTGTAACTCATTTACTATGGGGAGATTCAATGAGCCTTGCCACCTAATGGAAACAGGCAGAGGGAGGGTGGAGAAGGATGTAGTTGGAGCTATTTTAAGAAAAGAGCCTTACACACTAATTTTAGATCAAAGAAGAAGGTCATACAGCTAATGATACTGATACAGAGTTTAAAGAAATTATAATAGGAAACAGTGGGGAATCCATTCTAATTTATTCACTCGTTAAAACCAATTCTCCACCATTGGCTCTACACTCTTGTGGCTTTACAAGTGCATCATTTATCAATCTTCTTCTCAGTGGTTTAATTAATGACAAAAATGGGTAGCAGATTGCCTGTAGTTTCCATTCCTGCAGTCAGATCAGAAATGCTTCCTCTCTACTGACACAAATGAAGAATCTTCAGATCAGTTCTGCAGTAGATGGTCAAAACTGGTATTATCATGGCTAGATTCAGCTTGGTTTGTGCTGGCCATGAAGGGCCCCGAGGTGAGACAGTTATCATATTTGGAGGCTGCAGAAGCAGAAAGCAGCTGCAACCTTTCCTCTGGCAGTTGGGCACCCTCACAGTCCCATATGAGTAGTATTAGCCTACAAGTTGTCAGCCATGTACATGGGTAGCAGAACATGTGCTAATTCAGCACATTTGCTCACCAGTCTCTCCCATCTAGACTAGGCTCCTGGAAGCATATAATGCAACTGTATATCTTGGCTCTATTGTGTGTTCTTAGGCCACAGGTGATATCAAAATCTTGTTACAGAATTGCCCAATATAGTTTCCATTTACCTCACACTAATCAAAATGGCTTTATCTTACGTCAGTTCCTACCCATCCCTACCCAGTTCTGTCATATATCCCTCTCTACTGAGTCACAGCAACTCTGCCTTTTGTAAATACAGCTTCTTAATAAATCCGCCAAGGAATGAGAGGGAAAAGGGTTGTGCCCTTTTTGCTTCCTTATGTTGTATAGAGGCAGCTTTTATTATATTCTTTCCAGAAAGGATTTTTCTATCTGCATGCTTCCTCCTCCCCATTTTAGATATCCAGTTCTTTCTCTTCTTTGTTCTTCCTAGATGACTTTTTGCATAATTTACAAATTAGAATTATGGCATCACAGATATCAAGCAAATAGAACCTAGTTATTTGACAGAAGAGTTATTTTTATTCTGTTTAAAATTCTTTGTTTTTGTTTTTCCTTGTTATCATTACCTACTATTTAACTCAAATACTAGATAAGTAATTGGAAGTATGCTTGGTAAGGATTTCACATACTCTGTCACTTTAATGAAGCTCTGAGGCAGTATACAAGTTGTAGACTTCCTACAAGTACTCCTTCAGAATCAGTGAAAAATGACACATAGTTGAGTGATATAAGGTAAAAACAAGCATACTGAAAGAAGACTGAAAATATTTTTTAAAAGTAATATTAGAAAAGAGAACAAGGAACAACAAAGAAATCAACCTTTTGCAGCCTACCTTAAGAGGCATCAAATACAAGCTCAAATTGGATTAAAAAGAGCCATTTAAAGAGTTGCTTGCTAAAAAGGTAGTAACTCTTGTTTCAAATCCCAGGAGAGAAAGGACTCAGCAACATACAGAACATTTAACAGAGTAATGGGATTCCATAGTTTTAGGGACTTTCTATACAGCAAATGTTATTGCATTGCAGAGTATTGTTATTATACTATCTCTCAGCAATCTTATAACATCTGATATACACAATTTCATGAATAGATGGGATCAAACTGTTACATACACATAACACAATACTTTAAAACTACAGTTCTGCAGTGTAGGCAGGACATTAGACAAATAATAAAATAATAATTACTAAAATTGAAAAGTATTGCTGTAGAGCTGAGAGTATTATAGTTCTGAGAGCAAAATGGAGCTATCTTCAATTATCTGAGCCAGCTGTGAAAAGCCACCATTATCTCCAGACTTGAGATTATAGGAAGAAATTATATATTGAAGCATATTTCTAGTTTTTTTGAGATTTAACAATAAGCATTCTCATCTATCACATTAATTGTTGTGAATGGATGTTTTCTCTTTCATTATCTCAGCCAATAACAGTCCAGCTGTGAATTACACTTTATATATCTCACTATCAATAAAACAATTTGTGTGAACATAAGCTGATTGATTCTTTCTCTCTACATATGGAATCTTCTCTTCCTTAATTAATTCTTAGCTTTAGCAACAACTATATATTCTTTGCCAGCTCAGCGATAAGTCTCCTGAGTAAACAGATTACAGCTGGCAAGCAGTGGGAGACAAAATACACTGTTTCCATTGCAGAAAAATCATCTTGCTTATTACAAGAGTGAACTCCTTTCTGTGCCAAAGCAAGCAGGAAGTTCTGTACATTCTCCATATGCTATAAGCCCTCAGGTGTGGTCCAGGATTCTAGTGATTAGTACTAATGGTAAAAGGTCAGCATGCATATATTTACAGGGCCCTGCCTGTATTCAAAATTTCTATTTGCAACTAATCCACAAAAATTATCTGCAGCAATCCATGGATATAAAGCAGATATCCACCATTGCGGGGCCCTACAAATGTATTTGGGAAGAAAATATAATTTTAAAAAATGTTAAAATGTATGGGTTTTTTTTAAACCACTGTGAATAGGATTGATAGCAGTTACATATATACCAATACAGACAGTACAGATATTAAAAGGGAGCAAACCCAGTTCCTCCAGGACCAAAAATGTCCATCTCCACCCCAACCTACAGCAGTAATTACACTAACTTTGAG